GTGCATCAAGTACCTGCTCTTCGTCTTCAATTTCGTCTTCTGGGTGAGCTGCCGGGGGCCGGGGCGCAGGAGGCTGGGGCGCAGGGGGCTGGGGCGCGGGGGGCCGAGGACTGGGATGCGCGCCGACCCCACAGGCCCGGGAGGCTCGGTAGGCCTGGCCGATAGGCGCAGCCCGCGGGGCGGCCGCTGCGGGCTGCCAAGTTGCAGCCACCTGTGGGCGCCGGGGCGGAGGAGTGGGGGCCCAGGGCCGGCTGGCCGCGGCGAAGGGGTCGCCCGGGGCCATTGCGCCCCCCGACGGCGGGCCAGGCCGAGGGCCGGGTTTCAGGGCGCCAGCCTTTGCGCGTCCGGGCTCAAAGCCCCGGCGCACGGGGGCAGCTGTGCGGGCGACTTGGGCGCTCGGAGTCAGTAACCCACAGGCGAGGGGGGTCCGGGCCGCCCTCAACTGGGACGGCCCCGCCCGGGCCAGGAGCTGCAGTTTCTGGGACCACCCTGCTGCGCGGGGACGGAAGGGGGGCTCGGGGGCGGGGCTCCTGGTGCCCCGCCCCATGAGCTCATCGGGCCGCCGCCCCTAGATGGGTGGCGGCGCGAGATCGCTTGCTGGGTGGGAGCCCTCGGGGCCGGCATCGTGCTCCGCCCCCAGCCCAGTCCATCCGCCTCTCTGCGGTCCCCCTCCTAAGTCTCGGGTCGGCCTGGGCAGAGGGCATACGGGAAGCGCACTGGCCCGGGCATGCTCGCGTGCAGGGGGTCCGCACCGTGGTGGCCTAGCTCGGGGGTGCCCACCGTGCGCACCTCGGCTCCCACCGCACACTTGGATTCCAGGGGCTGGGAGGCTTTGAGAGGCAGTGGGCCCGGCCATTCAGAGTTGGCACAGGGCAGGGGGTGTCCAGGAGACCTGGCTTCGGCTCCAAGCTAGGGGCCTGCTTCCCGGCGTCAGTGCGGAGTGCTGGCTGCGATCTCCACTTTGGGAAGAGTGGCCCACGTGGTCATTGGACGGCAGCCCAGGTGGGAGGGTCTCCCGGGTCCTCTGCCCGCCCCAGGGCAGCTTTCTCCTGATGTCCGGGGTAGCTTCTGGGGAGTGACCGGCTGTGGCTTTTTCTTTGTTTCCATTTCCTGCCAGTCTTGGAATTGATGGGGAGGTGGAGATTCCTTGCTGGGCTGGGAGGGCCTGCGAGTGGGCGCCAGGACACCCATTCTACCCTCAACCCCTCCCCTTGGCAGTGACGCCTCCGAGTGCCCGTTCCTAGCTGCTCTGCCATCCCAGTCTGCTCCGCCCTCCGTCCCAGAAGGACGGCTGGACAGTGTCCCGGGTGGACTGTGTGTTTCTCAAGCTCAGGCAGGGACAGTAAACTTGAAAAATGACCCCTGGAGCGGACTGGACTGGGCCATCTGCTTCCCGTCTGGCCCGCGTGGGTCTGGAGCTGGGAGGTATTTGGGAGAGGTACAGGGGAGGACAGAAGCTGGACTCACTCCCAGGTGGGAGTGAGGGTCACATCCGGTCTGCTCTGGGCTGGCATGGGGAGGGCACCATGGGGGTCCATGAGGCCAGGGCCTCTCCCCGGGGGCAGGGTGCACGGAGACGCCAGTGATGGGCTTCCCTGCACAGGAGCCTTGTCTGAAGAAGTGGTGGTCCAGCGAAGTGGGGAGGGGTAAACTGAGGCCCGTATGCCCCTCAGCTGGCCCCTGGAGCCCCAACACCAAGAAGCTGAGCCTGCGTGAGGGGGGCTAGGACCCTGGTGGGGAGGGGAAGGGTAGGCAGAAGGAGTGGACTTCTCAGAAGTGGGTGTTTGTTCCTGGGGAGTCTGAGGGGAGTGGGCCAGGCTGGGCATCGCCCTGGATAAGCCCTTCCCCGGCTGGGCCCCGGGCATGCCTCCTCGAGGATCGTGCCCTGGGTGAGTCTGGTGGTTTCCCAGGCAGCGGATACCCTTTCTTGTGACTCAGGGAAACTTTTCAAGGCCCCTCCCTACCCCACCCCCTCAGAGCACTGAGAGCTGTTGGCCCACAGTCACCCACTCACCCTGATGACACCACCCTGTGTGCCCCGCACCCCCCGATTCCCCCGTGTTGCGGCTGAGGGTGGGCTCCTCAGAGTTCCCCTGGGTGGGGTCTCTACCTCGGCTGCCTCACCCCCTAGAGTGAGGTCCCACGAGACCCCCTCCTGGGTTTGTTGGGGGATTAACTGTTGCGATAAGTGCTGAGTGAGGGGCTTGGCACAGAGCAGGCTTGCTTGGGAGATGGGTGCTGGGCGTGGTGGCCCACAGGGACCACGGCCAGGGAGAGCGAGCCCATCAGTATCGGAAGCACCCTGCGGGACCTGCTGAGCGGTTCTGGCCCCTAGTGGGCCAGCGTCCCTGGGGCCCGGCATGTCTGGGGAGCCCCGGGGTGGGGGTGGGGGGCGGGAAAAGTGGCTGAGGTCCTTTTAAAAGTTCGGTTTTTTAGAGAAGTTCCCACAAGGGAGGAGGCAGTGAAAGGACTGCGTGCTTCTCCTTTGCCGCTGCAGAAAGGCCTGCCTGCCCACACCCCACATCCACGCTCTCCCTCCCACCCGCACCCTCACATCCACGCTCCATGCTCTCCCTCCCACCCGCACCCCCACATCCACGCTCTCCCTCCCACCCGCACCCTCACATCCACGCTCTCCCTCTCACCCGCACCCCCACATCCACGTTCTTCCTCCCACCCGCACCCTCACATCCACGCTCTCCTTCCCACCCGCACCCCCACATCCACGCTCTCCCACCCGCACCCCCATATCCACGCTCTCCCACCCTGGGGCTGCCTGCACCCCCACATCAATGCTCTCCAGCCTGCCTGCACCCCTACACCCATGTTCTCCCTCCCACCCACACCCCCATCCACTCTCCCTCCCACCCTGGGGCTGCTTGCACCCTTACACCCATGCTCTCCCACCCGCCTGCACCCTGACATCCACACTTTCCCACCTGCCCTGGAGCAGCCAGGGCAGCAGGCACTCAGCCTTCTCCCTGGCAGAGCTGGCAGTGGGGACTCCCTAACAAGCAGATGTTGGGTGTGGCGGGCAGGGCAGGGCATGGGGACACGCACCCTGACCCGAGCAGAGGGCCCAGTGTCCTCTCCAAGCAGCGTGGAAGTCCTGGCCCTTGGGGTTGGTCTGGGAGCAGTTTGGAGAGAGCAGGGACTCCCGTTCCCGTGGGCTTGGGGCAGATGGCAGGCTGCTTGAGCCTCAGTTTTCTTGTTTATGAAATGAGCACGATGCTAGCTGTCTCCTTGGGGGCCCCTTGAGAGGTGTGACTGCTCTGCGGGGAGAGGAGCCGTGTCCCGGCTGGGACTGCTGCTCATCCACCTAATGGACCTTGTGGCCTCCTTCCAGGTCCACAGCAGCGGGACAGGCCAGGAAGGTGGCCGACTTAAGGCCTTGCTAACTGGCATTCAGTTCTCACTTCCAGACAACACGTGGCTGTCTGTCACTTGGAAAGTCTGTCGCCTTCCTTCCGGGATGGGCTGGGACCAGGCGGGCTCCTGGTGGGGGTGGGGGTTTCCTGTGCCCGCTGGGTTTCGCAGGGCTGGGGCGGACTACCCCGGGACATCTAGCTGCCTGGCCCGCCAGGTCTTAGAGAACTGGCTGCTGAGCACTTTGGGGAAGCGTCCGTGGGGTTGGCCAAGAAGAGGAACTCTGCAGTGGTTCATACGAGACAGGCTAGCTGCAGGGGGGGCGGGGGACTCGGCGAGGAGGGAGCCGGGGGCCCTGGTCGTCTCTCTGGGTCCTGGCCCTGGGCCCGTGTCCCTCTGGCAGGGACTTACTGCCTGCAAGACACACTGCAGCCTGCAGGGCCCTGGGCGGGGCCGACCGCAGCGCGCCCCACAGCCCCCGCCCCCCAATCTCCGCTGGGGCTGACAGGCAGCCCCCCAACTCAGTGCAGCCTCCTGACATCAAGCTCACCCCAGCCCCTGTCTTGTAGCTGCCTCTAAACTCAGACTGGGAGATGCACCCCAAAAAGCACCGCATGCCTCCACCCCAGCGCCTGGACTCCTGGAGCAGGGAAGAGCAGCAGCGTGAAAGTTGATCAGGTT